TGACTTTCATCAAGAAATGGAAACTTCAGGGACCTGTGATCAGGTCTCCCTAGATGCTGGCCTTCAATATGATGTGGGCATGGTTAAGAACATAATCTAAAGTACAAATGTTGAGCTTTTCAATGTGACCTGCTAAACTAAATGAGTATTTAGCAAGAAAATTCATTTTTCTTGCCCCTCTCACTTAAAATGAGTGTAGCTGTGCTAAGAGCTCTTTGGAGATGCCTCTGCATCTCACCCAAAGCCCCAGATTGCTGCTTAATTTATGCCTCTTCAATTTGAGCCCCCATTTCTGGAGATGAATTTTAACAGTGACTCTGGAGCAAGAGCTGGGTTGGTGGATGTGGCTGGTGAAGGTGCTCCCTGGGGGTCCCACAGAAGCAGTGCCTTGCCCTGTGTTGCCTGGGCAGGGTTGAAGGCTGGTGTGTGCTCCTGGGCTGAGGCAGAGGGACAGCTGCATGTGCCCCTGCCAGGACTGCCTTGTAGGGAGATGTGCCGGCTGTTTCTCAGAAGGCTCCTGGAGCTGGTGGCTCCTGCAAGCCTGGCCCTCAGGGCTGGGGACGTGCACGCCTGGCCTTTTCCCTGGGTGCCTTTTAGTGCCTGTATAAATACCAGCAGGCTTCAGATGCATTGCAAATTCTGGCCCGTTTTATTAAGCCCAAGTCATAAATAGGTTGGTGCTCACTTGTGGGTCCGGTGGAGCTGTCATTAGAAATGATGTAATGATTAAACTCTGCGTCGTGACGGCTTTCCTGCTGAGCTTCCCTCCCAGGTCTTGTTCTTCTGTTCTCTTCAGGAGCATCACAGGTGCCAGGTGAGATACATTTAAGCCCTGGAAAAAAGTTAATTTAGCAGAACTCGCTATGAAGTGGCGTTTCTTACGATAAGCCAGACCAGCCACAGTCTGTCTTCTCCTTTTGATGCAGACACTGATTGTGCTCACTCTGCTTCCCAGGGAGCCCGTCCCGGCTGCAGCACAGCTCTGCACTAGATTTTATAGTTAGTGCTCTTTGGAATAAGTGTCATTTAAAAAGTATCCAGCCAAGAAAGAGCACAAGATGTAATTCCAGTGACGTTTGTGGACTTTTTTGTTTGGATTTTTTTCTCCCCAGAAGGACAGTGGTTTCTATTAAAGGGAATTGGCAGCACTGGCCTTTAGCCCTGGGCGGGAGATGAGCTTTCAGGGTTCATCCCTTCGCTGCGGGGCCAGGGTGATTTTCTGAACTCCTCAAACAGTGCAAAGCTCAAATCAAGCCATTCCTTGCACATCTGATATTTTTGTAGTTAACCTGCGAAGCTTTTGTGTACGAAGCAGAGGTCCTGGGAAGGTATGAGAAACAAGCTATTTTTACTCCATCACAAACAAGGCTTGGCATGTTTATTTTAGACTCCGGAGCTGCTCAGGCCACTGTGGGGTTTTTTATAGTCTACTGTTACTGTCAGATTAAAAAATCAACTTCAACTCTGGAAATCACAGGAAAATAGGGTGCCCCGGTGTACTTGGCTCCAGTGAGGCTCTGAGGAGGCTGCAGGGAGGAGTTGCCTGTGTTGTTCAGAGTGCCAGTCTTGGGGTCTCCTGCATACCAGAGAAGTCTTTTCTGAGCCACCAGCTGTCCATGGACTACGTGCCCTTCTATTGCATCAACTGTCCTGCAGAGGAGCAGTTCCCTTGCTGGGTGTCCTAACTGCATCTGTAAAAAGTCTACAGCTGAATAACTTAAGGAGCTCTGGGGGTGAGAGTAGAGTTTGGCCATGAGATGAGCAATGCTGCAGCAGGTCATTTGTGCATCCTGCTCCACAGAAGGTTTGAGTGGCCAGGTCGCCAGCATAGCTTGAATAATTTTTTTTTTTGCTGCAGACAAGTTCACCAGGCAGCAGGAGGTGAAATTAATGAGACCAGCTCGTTTTCCTCCTGCCACCAGAGTCTGAAAAGGGAAGGATTTAGGTCAGTCCTACTCAAAGAGTGGGAGGATGCACAGAGGGCCCCATCCCTGTCCCTGCATGGCCAGCTCTCTGCTCCTGCTGACGTGGTGTGGTAGAGGAGTGCCCCTTTAATTGCAGGTGTGCTTTGCACAGGCACTTCCAACTTTTGAGCTGTTTTATCCCAGTTTATTATTAGAAGTAATTAAAAGTGTGACCAGTGGTGTATTCACTCCATGGTAGTGGGCACAGTGTTCAGTGGTGGGTCAGTGTTGTGCAAATGTGTAACACAAGCAGCCCAGATTGTCTCTGCCCACGCAGGCTTAACCTCGTCACTGAGGTGCCTGCTCAGCTGACAGCCAGCCCCGACCTCTGAGCTGGGGGATCCTGCTGAGCCCTGGGCTGATCCAGCCCCTTTGGGTGCAGGCTGGAGCTGCAGCTGATCTGAGCCTGCAGTGTTTATTATGAAGCAACACTCCACCAAGAAGCCAGTCAAATTATTGACTGTAATTGATTCGCTTATAAGCAGCACTGGTACTAATTTCCAGTTGGAGCATTTAGCACACTTAGTATTCTAAAGCTCATAATTATTACTGCTAAATCTGACAAACAGCATTGCTTCTGAATGGCAGATCTGTCACCCTTCACTCCCATGGCACTCTGTGTTAGTGTGCAAGTCCACCCCACTTTGCCCTCCCACAGCAAGTATTTTGGCCACAGAGAGATGGAGAGTCCAACAGGTTGTCTGGCATCTTGGGGGGTTCAGTCTATTCTTTGGGGTCATAGCTGTCTGTCAGTCCCCCTGCTCCTACAACAGGGTGTTTAACCCTCCTTCATTCTCTCTCTTACACCTTGTTCTCCTTTTTTCCCTGTTTCAGAATCCATCTCTTTCTTGCCTATGTCCCTCCTTTTCTCTGCCCAGAATCCCAAGTAACATCCCTGTATTACTTTCTGCTCATCGCTTTAAACTCTGCTTCATCCATACCCAAACCTGGTGTTTGTGCTGCATAGAAAGTTTCACCTCTCAGCCTTGTCTTACTTGGTGTCACCTCGGTGGTCTCACAAGTCTCCACACCCCAAAACTCCCCTACAACTATGTGGTGTGTGTTGGCTACCCTACACCAAAGACAAAAATCCCTAATGCAAATCACAGCACTTCAGCCTTGATTCTTCTCCCCGTGTCCAATTAAGCACTTTCTTAGGTGCAGTCTGCATACCAGTGCAGGAAATTAACATTTTTCACAGTTTTTAGGCTTACCCAGGATCCATACCCTGGAGCTGTTGGAACTGCTGCCATGGCTCCCAGCAGAGGTCCCAGCTAGCCATGGCCAGCAGTGCTCCATCAGGACCTCTTGCCTGCAGCTGTCCCTGAGGAATTTACAGCCTAAGCTGTAAGGATAGAAAAGGAGATAGAGGGGTCATGTAGCCCTGTTCTGCTGAGCAGTCATGGAGCTCCTCTAAGCTGATTTAGCTGATAGTGGTGAGGAACACTGGCAAGCACTTACCTGCCCCAGGTACCTGACCTGGCAGGCATGTGTGCTCCCCACAGCACTGATGGAGATAACTGCAGTACCCCCAGGGTGTTTTCCCCCTCTCATTTTCAAGAGCCTGATGAGCAGGAGGGGTTTGTGGTGACGATTGGGCTTTCAGCTTGGTTGTTATCTGTTCCGTTGACTTAAGTCTGGCTTTCAAAAATGGATAAGGCAGCCAGGCTCAGAGTGTCTGGTCTGTTCTCCAAACAAAACACAAGCTTGGCCACAATGCTGTGTGTTTTAGATTAAGCAGGCCTGAATTTATTTGTCAATATTAATATTTGTGTACTGTAAAGCACCAGTGGAAGTCTGTGCTCTGAAGGTTAAGCTGTGTTTTTTTGGTATCTGGTGCTCAAGGACCTGTATCTGTAATGGGATGGGTGCTGGGGAGCAGAATCTGCCCTTAGCCATCCTCTGCTGTTTGCTATGCTTTGCACCTTCCAAAAGCACAATTGCTGTGTCTGGGTTTTCCCTTCTGCAACAGGGTCCAATATCTCTGTGAATTCAGTGTTTGGGTTGAAGTGCATGGGTTGAGGTCTGTGTGCAGACAGGATAGCCAGGTTAGGACACAGGGTGATCCATTTTTCCCTGCACATGCATCTTTAGAGGAGCAGGGCCTTTGGGGAGCTTTGGCATGTCTGCCGTGTAGTTGGCTTGTTACGTGCAGTTCTTGTGTCCTGGCAGCACTGCTCACTGCTCAAATGGCGCTCCCAGAAATTGCTGCCAGTGGAACGTACTGTGGCTTTGTCAATGACAAAAATACCTAGTTCTTGAGAGAGTTATTTTGCATGCAGAGTTACTGGTGTATTTTGTTTTGCTTATTGGCCTGTAAAAATGGAGGGCGGGGGGGAGGTAGATTTGAAAATAAACCTATGTTGTTGGTTTGTGAATAAAGATGTTTTAATCCACAGGATTTGATGTATTGGTACAGACCTGATGTTATAATACAGAATAAATGTGTTTGTAGAAAAGTAATTGAAAAAAACCTAAACCCTAGGTAGTGCAGCACAGTTTTAAAAATCAGCAGCAATCTTGCCTGGAAGCCTGCAGGTCTAAAATGTGAAGCATTGCACTGCCCTTGACTAACATAATAAATTTTGAAACAAAGTGGTCTAAAATATTTATTTATAGAAAATACACTTAGGGGCTGGAATGCAACTACACTAACACTTAATATATTCCTGGAAGAGCTGTGTGGCTGGTCAGCATTTGTTTTCCAAACTCTATTTTCAACTCTTCCAAACATTTCCATAGGTGTTTTGGACAGCTTTTCCCCGGCATGCTGCAGCCCATGGCTGCTGCCAGCAGATTGGGAGAGCCAGTGTGACAGAAGGGCTCTGTGCTGAGCCCCCCCACCACAGGAAACTTGCTGGTCTTTCCTTACAGTCCCAGAGCAGAATGCTGGGGGGCTGTGATCTCCTTCCCCACCTGGCTCTAGTCCCTTTCCCCAGGACAGGTGCAGCTGTGTGCTTAACCTTTGTTGCCAGAGGAATTCAGCCCTTCTGCCAAATGCCTCATTCTCCCTTTCCTGGGGTGATCCAGCCTGTCCCCTGCTGAAACAACCCTTCCCATGGTCCTCAGTGACAGGATCTCTCCTCCTGTGGCTCAGGGTGGCCACATGCACTTGTCCTTCTCATGCACCCTTGAGCAATTTGCTTTATTTCTTTTATTTCCCGTGTTTGCTGCACTGTCTTCACTCTGGCTTTTCCCATCCTCCTGATTTCCTCAAAACTGGGAACATGTCAGGTGCATTTTTTCCAGAGAATATCCCTAAGGGCAACTCTTAAATAATCCTCTCGATGAAGAGGAAACCAGAAGGGTTGGGGTAGATTTCTATAACCACGTTATCACTTGGAGCTTTGAGAGCTGGCAGGAGTTGCAATCGATGTGTGTGTTTCTCCTGCAGAATAAACAGCCTTGCGAGGACTTTGGCAAGCGGAGCCGGAGCCGTCTCTCCGAGGCCATGGTATAGTTTGTTTTCTGGGACAAAGACTACTTAGACATCTGGATTGCATTGGGGATTTTAGGGGAGAGATAAATTATTAGTTTGCTGTGAATGGAGAATGACTCTGATTGCTCTGCGAGCATGCTTTTGCCAGCTCACTGCTGCACGGGCTGAATTCACGTTCTCGTACTTCAGGAAGAGAAACAGCAACTGTGGAGGCTGTTGGCCGTGTCCTGGGAACAGGGGGGCTGAGCAGACCTTTCCCGACCTTCTGGTGTGCTGAGAAAACATGCTCATTTTATGGGCAGTTAATTTATAGAAAGTTCCTGTTTAAATTTCCTCCAAGGGCCGTAAAACCGGAGGACAGCTGCACGCATTAGCCAGCTAATCAAACGCTGCTCACCCCTGCCTTGCCCTCCCCTTCTCCTCACCACCACTAACTTTGGGCTGCTTCGTGTGAGTGAGTGTGGCAGTTTTGGGAAATACACTCAAAAACTGTCTGCAGAGGAGTGGCTGGTGCTCCCAGGGTTTGGGGTGTCCCTTCTGAGCCAAGGCTCTCGGGACTGGGCTGTTCCCCAGGAGCGTCCAAGGTCAGTCAGATTTTGTATCGTGCTCTCCCTGATTTATAAAGGCTCTGCTGTGCTCTCTGCCCTAAGGAGTGGTGCTGCCTGCCACGGAAATATCCACCCTGGACTGAAATAAAAACTTTGTTCACATTTTGCTCCTCTTCCAGGCGTGGGGGAAAGCTGCAATTGTTTCCTGCTGCCTCCTCCCTCCTTCCCCAAAGACTGCAAATAAGTAAAACCTCATAGATTTGTTTGCAGTTGTGTCCAAGTTCATCTTTTGGTGGAAGGAAATCACTTTAGATGGATGCTGGGGCACCCGAGCTCCAGAAATGCGACTTTTCCTTGGCTCCCTGCAGCAACCAGCCTGGTAGGATATCAGCATGGGTATGTGCTCTCATAAATTTGATCCTAATAGCTAATTTTGATCTACTTTGACAGAGAGATTTAGGAACTTAGACACTGAATCTCTTAAGAGCTCCTCAGAGCTGCTTTTCCCCTATTCTGACAACAAGCCAGGCTCATGTTCCACCCTGTGCTATAATCGTACCGGTTTATTTTCCAGCACCTTCTCACTATATTAAAACTAATGATGAAAAGGAGAAACTCCTAGCCCATGTGCAGGACTGAAAACCAGAACTAAAACTCCTGCTCCTGCCACCACAGCAGTATCTGCTGCTGCTCCTAACAGCCTGCTCTCCCTGCTGTCAGTGCTCATCAGCTGCAGGGAAGGCAGCAGATCTGTCTCTGTTTTGGTGAAGTTGGGGTGTTTTCACCCTTACTGCCCTTGTGTTCTAGGGAGTGGTTGACCAGCACAGAAAATTATTTTGGATGTGTGGTTGGAGGCTGCAGAGACTTTTTTGGAGCCCCCAGCTTTATCTGCCAGGAATTTAATGGAAGTATGATGGCAGGAAAGAGCAAAGGTGAGCACATAACACCCATTACAAGTTTCTGAACTTGCAAGGGCTCCTGCAATAAACCCCTTCAGCGGATTGCCCAGTGTGATGCAAGAAAACTGGCCCGATATCCCTTCATTTTGTTTAAGCTGGGGCCTTTTTCCCTTCCTTTAAATCTCCTCTGCAGCAGTTGGGGAAAAAATGCTGCAGAAAGAAATGCCAGGAATGTGAACAGCAGGTGGGGACTGGCAGATGTACTTATCAATCACGATAGGCTGACGAGTGGTTTATTCCTCTAAAGAGCTACTGTTTGCCTCCAGCTTGGTTTACTCCTGTTCTCTCCAACTCCCTCCAGCCTCTGCTGAGGTTCAAGTTAAGAGCAGGGTAGATTTCCCAGTTTTCTGGAGCATGCAATGCTTGGTGCAGGAGTCCCTGCTCCGGGAGGCCAGAAGAAGGGGAGGGCAGGGGCAGACCCGGTCAATCACACTGGAGGGGTTGCAGCAGCACACTTCATCAATAACATGTCACATCTCGGGGATGGGATTTGGGAAGTCTTGCTTCCGTGGTGCCCAAGCAGAAGACAGACTCGATTAGTTAATTGAATTTTCTGCACTGTTGCTTTTCAAAACATGACTTCATATCTCAGAGGAGTCTGGAGTTACTTCAGTGGACAAAACCCTATATTAAGGAGGTGGTGCTTGGAGGAGATCTCTTGCATTTTTGAGTGAGAAGACTGACACTCTGGATTGCAGATCTGGACCTGTGAAAAGGGGAGCAGGATCCTCTGGTCTCTGGGGTTCAGAGAGATTGAGTCATAGTTTGGTGTGGCTGCTCCTGATTTTTTGAGCACTTTTCACTTCATATGGAAATGCCTCTTTGTAGCAGGGCAGCCCGATTTACATGAAACAACAGGCTCAATGGCGAAAAGCCTTTATCTGTTGATCTCTAAGCAGCTTTCCCTGGAGTGTTGGCAGTGTATGTTACAAGCAGAGCAAACCTGCCATCACAAACGACATTATGGATGCTTTTGCCTCCAAGCTTTCATTCTGGCTGTGTGCTTGTGTCAGAATTCATGTGTTATCCCAGTGCTTCAGATGTACTCCATTTCTGTGCACTGGTCCTTGCAAAGCCCGGGGTAAGCCATAGACTTGCAGGTATTTTCCTTGGCTACTTGTCTGCAGTGCTCCAGGCAGCCGGCTCCAGTTTGCAGTGATTTGCCTTTGTATGGACGTTGCTGATGTAGATAGTTATCTTTAAGAAAAATGAAGGCACATCTGCCCCAAGCCTTCTTATCAGTTTTTCTTCAGATTGTTTCTTGGTTTTGTGTAAGAGCAGTGGAAAAAAAAAATAGCTTTCCCAAGGAATAAGCACAGTGAGAATAAGGGAGCAGGCAGGACTACAACACAGAATAAAGATCTCAGAAACATCCCCTTTTCCAGCAGCAAAATGCTCTTATCAAACTCTGCTCACAGGCCACCACCTTGGCTAAAGGGAGCTTGTGTTGGGAGGTGCTGCTTTCAGCTTTTAGAGCAGTTTAGCAGCAGCTGAAGCAACAATTCCGGTCACGGTGCCATTCCCAGTGCTACCTGACTGCATCCTGCCTGGAGCAACTTGGCCTGTGGACTCTGGCACCTGGCCTGCTCCTGCTGCCCTGCCCAGCTCCCACCGGGAAGTGGGTCAGCTGATGGGCAATGTTCCATGGAGCTGCCTTCCAGGGGAGTTACCAGCGGGGGCTGTGCTGGGGCAGGGCAGGAGCCAGGGAGCAGCAGGTCCCGATGCCATGAGCCCCACTGCACATTCCCGAGGAGTTGCCTCCCACGTGCAGCGATGTGGCCTGAGCTCCCTCGTACAGGATTTTCCCAAATCGCCTCCCATTTGGAGTGGATCCAGGTTCACGAACTGGGTGTGGGGTTGCCTTCTTGAGCTGCTGGGGCAGTTTTACCTCCTCAGGGCAGCGTGGAGCAGCGGTGTCTGGGTGTCACAGGTCACACTACCTGCCACAGAGACTGTTCAGAGTGAATTTAACTCTTGGACTTAATTGCTTGCACTGGAGTTTCCCATGCCGAATTTCCATGCTGTGTCCCTGCCTCAGGCTTTGTTTCAGCTTTTCAGCAGAACAGTTTAGCCATTTCCAAGAGTTAAAAGATTTTTTTAAAGTTTTATTTTGTCAGTATTTAAACCCAAACAGCCCTTGCATTGAGAGGTGCTTGGGTGGCACAAAGGCAGCGCTGAATGTTGGCAGCCCCGGGCTCTGATTGCAATAGATGTGCCATCTCCCCTCCCAGCAAAATGCCCTGGATCTTATGGATCCTTATCAGGTTCCAGGCGTCTGCAAGGCTCCCAGTTCACCAGTGCTTTGTAGACTGGTTTTAATAGGTCCTGCCCATCCAGGACCTCCTCCAGCCCGGGGCCAGAGGGACTGAATCAGAGTGGGAGAGAGGTGCTGCCTCTGCCACTATCCCAGTGCTGAGAGCAGGATCCAGTCTCTCCTGGGCTGCTTGCTGACAGTCATGGATGGGTGATGGGCTCGCCTGTCTCAAAAGCAGATTGAAGCTGGAGTAGAGGTGGAGAAAAGCAGTAAACTGTGGTACTTGCTGGGACCAGCTCACGGACAACCTTAATTCTCAGGTATTCTGACTTTTTAACTCATTATTTGCAGCCTCGAGGATTTAGGTGTTGCCTTTGTTACCTGCAGCAGCACCATACTCTGTTGGAAGAGGGGGGTTTTAGGCTCAGTCTACAGCAATGAGCAAAGCTCCTGGCTGACATAAGGTCTTGAGAAATAGGTGAGAGGCAGTCTGGCTGCTGCTGCCTGCAGTAGGAGGCATCATCATTACCTCTGAAAGTGTTTTTAGATTGTGTGTGGAAGGTGTCTCAGATCTGTAACCTGGATATGTTTGCTCTGAACAGTTGACTGGTGATGCTAAGGTGTGGACAGTGTGATCCCTGATCAGAGAACTGCTAAGTGAGTGCTTGGTGACTTGTAACTAATAAGCCAGGTTATTTTTGGCATAGCGTCTCTGCTTTATAAGGGATGGACTGAACTGCTGAAACCACATTTTCCCCCTACAACCTGTTAGGAGGCTCAGAAGAGGCCAATGCAGAGTTGCTCTTCAGAGGTCGGCTGTTATAGAGATCCTGGCTATGGTGTAATTAGGTTTTTATTTTTGAACTTCAAGCCCAACCCCTCCAGGTGAAGGAATGGGGATTGTGACCAGGCTTTGTAGCTGGCTCAGCTGAATTACTTCCCTGCCTCCGTCTAGACCATTCTGCATCCTCCAAATGCTGTACAAGATGCAACAAGGTCCTGCAGGACTGACCTGATCTCATCCCTAAATCAACAATCCGTTAAAGACAGTGAGCCAAGGAAATACTGTATAACCACTGAAGTTACCATAAGCAAAGCAAAGCTTTGGTGCATGTCCTTGGGTACCTAATTGCTGTGCTTGCCACCTGGGGATTGGAATTACTCTCCCACTCTGTAACCGAATGGGATGTACTGTGATAAGCAGTTTAATTGTTTCCCCACATCTGCAGCAGCTCTGTAAAGCAAAGGCAGGCTGAGCACACCTTCAGAGCTCCACAGCCTCCCTGCAACTCCAAGACTGCCTTTCTTCCTGCCGTGCTTGTGCATCTCTCTCCATAGAGCCCACATGCTCTTGCTAAACTGTTTGTGTTCTCCTGTGCTGTTTGATAGCAGCTAGCCCTCAGTTTTTCTTTTCGGACTTACTAGGATATAGGTGCAGCCATAGGAATGTGACCGTGAGAACAGCAAGGATAGTCTGGCAGGTGCTAAGTAACGGGATGCCCTCTTAAACTAATTAGCAGGGTTTGGACATCGAATTAGTGATGAGGGTCAGGCGAGTGCTGAACCGAAATCAAAGTGAGAGTGGCTTGGGGGGTGGATTCAGAAGTGATTAAGGACAGATGCGTTTGTCTGCTGTTACACAGCTTCAGGACGCCTAGGACTGTTGTGGGCGGCTGTTGGCTGGGAAGTGGGGCTGTTGTCATTTCTCTCCCGAGGTCATCAGCACAGACTGTGCCTAGGGCTGGGCTCTGCTCTGTTCTGGGTGCCCCCAGGCAGAGAGGGTGGTTCTCCAAGTAGTGGAAACAGGGGCGTAGAGGCACTGCTCTTACAAAGGGTTACACAGTCAGAGGATGTCTAACTTGGCTAAGACGTGGAGAGTGGTTTTTGGGTGTCCAAAGCACACACAGTGAGCAAGAAAAGGTGATGCTTGGCTTAGAGAGGATCAAATTATTACAAAACCCAGCTGAATGCTGGTTTAATTTTCCTTTTTGCCTCAGAATGGCATCTGACTCTGTTTCCCTGTGGCATACATTGGAGCTCTGATGACTTTGCCCCCATTCTTGGGATTCTTGCAGAAGGAGTCATCACATGCTCCACAGTGGTTCTTTGCACAGGGAAAGAAGTCGGTACAGGATCTACTCCATCTTATTCCGTTTTTTCTCCCTATAACTTAAACTCGTATT